TTGATTTTGGGTTTTCTATCATTAATATTACTTTATTTCTGAAAATTATTTTTACATATATATACTCGTGTTTTAAATTTATTTAGAATAAATCAAGAATAATATATATTTTATTTATATAATTTATATTGACTATTGTTATAAGTTTTTAACAGTGATATACTTGCTTTCTAATTCTTCATTGAAAAATTAACTTAAAGATTTGACTAAATTGTTTCGTGTATATAACTTTGTACCAAATTTAGCAAAAAAAAACCTTATAAACTATTACTAAAATATTAACGGGTCACAATATTATACCGACGCCCCTGTTACACAATACAATGATGAAATACAATATTTAAGCAATATACTATTACTTAGTAAAATTAGAACCATTAGATTATACTTTTTGAAATGTTTATATATACCATAAAAATAAAGACTCGCCCAGTCGGGCGGGTTATGATCTAGTAAAGATTAAACATTAAACCAGGAATAAAATAATTATTTTTTGTTTGGTGATATCAAGAATCTACCAATTCTTATATTTTTGGGGTATTTTTTATGTAACAGATTCGTCTGGATAAGAAGTATGTATCAGACTATCAGGGTTTAATGTATATAGGGTCAACAATCAGATTAAATGAAAAATCATTGGTAGAGAAATCTGAGAATATCAACCGCGGCTCCGTGTAAGCACAGGATTGTTCATCGTCAAATCTGTTGTCGATGCAAGAGTGAATCTGTACGACACAAGTATGCAGGGTCGTAAGAACACCTTCTCTTCTCCTCACCAAATGATTCATATCCGTGTATGCTGATAATGCAGGTATTTGGGATTGCTCACGAGCTTTCATTTACATCTTCAAGTCTATAAGAATGAGCCACTAAGCAGTTGAGAATCTGGTTGGAACAAACGAAGCTTCACTTGGTTCTTGGCGTAGAACACCCTCATCAATGTGTTGAAATTCTCAGAGATTGATAAGTATCATATGATCAAAGAGGCTGACTCGAGATCAAAAAATGTTATATTTCGTTTTTATTTAGAGCATCTACTCAACTCAAGTGATGTACTGGTGAAGTTTCGATTTTTTGTCCGTGAGTTTTGCGTTGAGCAAAATAATTTTCATCATGCATTCACAAACTATGTCCCCGACCATGGGAAAAAGTCGTGAAGTTGCTCGATCCTCATATGATATACTTTTGGGGGGGGGGGGGGGAGATGATCAAATCACTACAAGAGACATCGACGATGATTTAGTCACTGGAACTTGTTTTGGCGAAACCACAAACAGTTAAAATCTCTAATAATTTTTCGTAACTGAGTATTTAATTTTAGAAATAACGGCAAAAACAGAACAATTCTCTGTGAATAAAACTCTAGCAAGATAATTTTCTCAAACAAGGTTAATATAGAAAAATGTAACGATTACAAACGATAATGAAATGGTCAATACACAGTTCACAAGTATTCTGAGTGTTTTAGTGTGTTTGTATTGTCGTAATGACTTGTGTCTATCTGTCGAGGTTGACACGTTTTTTATACTAATCAGTTTGTTCCTAGCTACTATACATATTTTGAGTGTACATGCAGCGTCTTATTACTGTAGATTTCGGGGGTTTGGCTAACTAGCATGATTTGGAGGTGCATGATCTAGGAGTCGGCATAAGCCAAATACTTGTCATTTTTACCATATTTGATATTTGGATTAACTTGTTTGTATAATAAAAACTTGGATTTGTATTTGCTCTATTAAAAACAATTACTTGCACTTTCAAGTACTTGTTAAAAAAATGGTATACTTACAAATACTTGTTCCGTTTTACTACTTATTACTTTTGAACTAATTTATAAATTATTTATAATTATTTTTAAGTTATTTAATAATAGTTTATTAATTTTAGCTACTTATAGTTATAATCTAAACAATTTTTAATAAATAATATTTATTTACTTTTCATATGTTTTAAATCGATATGATAAATATAAAATTAAAAGAAAACTCTAAAATATTTCTGTTATATATTACTTTTAGTTTATTTATTTTACAGAACAAATAATTTGATTATCATTTAGAGATTTTTTTGTCCAAAAGTAAAAAAGACGGTTATAAATTAAGTAATAAGTCACGAGTAACAAGTCAACAACGTAAAATAATTATTTTTATTTTATTACTTAGTACTTATCTTGTACTTGTAAGTAATTGAAATAAACGACTTGATACTCGACTTAAACAAAACGAGTATTCAACTTTAAGAGCCAAATACAAATTAAGTAGCGAGTATAAACCGAGTAGCAAGTAATTGTTCCACCCCTAGCATGACTTGGTAATGACTTGGTCTCGGTTAGTATCCACTTAATCTGAAGCTCGATACCTCGAACTCAAGGTAACCTTGAACGAAACATTTAAATAAAAAACACTAGGATAAAACATGCGTCTTACCCATGGTGAGTGTATGTAATTAAAAATATAAAATTTTAGTATTCACAAATTTAAAATTTACATATGATTTTTTTTATATGTATTTGAAATTTTGGAATTTTTATATAATTATTTATACGTAGGATCATAAACATATCTTAATCACATTAGATAATTCCGTAGGTTTTATTTAAGGAAATAATATATATGATATTTAGTTTGATATGTTATATAGTTTGATATGTCTTATATGAAACCAACATACTTTGTTTTAAAACTATGCTTTACATGAGATGCTCTAGAATTCTTCTAAATGGAATTTTATAGAGAACTGCCACATAAGATATGATTTTTTTAGTTAGTACAAACTTAAGGTTATAACTTTTAAAATGATCATCAATTACTATAGAGGGGATTTGGTGTGTACATTTAAATCAAACGATTATTCTTATTTATTAACAATAATTTATGGTAAATAAAGCAACACAATCAATTTTATCCATCATATATTATATACAATTAAATTTAAATGACATTAAGAATATCTATAATATATTTTAAATATGAATGTTTAGTAAATGAATTTTCTCATTATAAGGTTTTATGATTATCAATATATTTTTATAACAAAATTTTGAACTATTAAAAATTGAATGCAAATTTTAAAAATAAAATATTAAATTCTCAATATTTTTTCCATGAAAATATCAAAATATAAGTATGTATTTTATATGGTATGTAATTTAATTTAAATTATATATATATGTATTAATATAAACATATTAAATAAGACGTTTTCCTCATGTATTTTATAATTATTTGTATCTTATTATAATAAAAATTTAAACCATTGATCACAAAATATTTATTTGAGATATTTAAAAATTTAGTAATTTATACCCGTTTTAAAAAATTCAAAATACAGTATATACGAAAAAAAATATTTTTATTATATAAATTATGTAATTGTGTAATTATTTTAATAAAAAATATTTAAACAAAATGGTAGAGGGTATAAAAATTGTTAGCAAATCTTTCTTAATGAAATTATTAATTGTCATATATCTTTTAATCACATTGGGTAATTTCGTAGTTTTTATTTAAGGAAATAATGAATAATAAAATTTTAAATTAATAAGATATGTGACCAACATTTTTCTAGTAAATATGTATTTAAACTATAGTATATATAAGGTGTTCTAGAATTATGTTAAATATAATTTAGAAGATAAAGAGATATGCCACATATGATTGAGGTTATTTTTAGTTAATATAAATTTAAGTTTATAATTTTTAAATGATTTTCAAATAATATATAATATAGGGGATTTGAGTATTACTAATGAACCGTAAATGTGCGCAAAGACATCCCGTGTGGAGTGAATTTCTAGTTGACCAATTTATATGATAAATAACTTAATACTATTTTAGACTATGAACATAGATCGTAGATGAACCGACACCACCATAACCTATGATTTCCATGTACGAATATTTCAAAGGAAACAATAAGGAAGGGTCCTAGCAAAAACTCTTAATTTCCTCAAGAATATGTACTAAAGTAGTGGAGTGGAGGGAGCGAAAGAGAGATGAATGGCCTAGTGATGACGTTAAGCACGGCTATTCTGTCCCTTCGAAAAAGCCTTCGTTTTGTACCATTACAAATCAACGGGCCGAAACTAAATTTAAAGGCCCATTGTTTTTTATTTTATGGGGTACATTAACTTTTCTTCCCGATCTCAGATTTTTACTTTCTTTTTTTAGATTGTAGTGAAAGACTAAAAGTATACGATAACAGTGCCCTAAAAATCAAATAGTTTACAACATTTCACCTAAAACCCACATAAGCACATACGACAAATGTGAAAACGTAAACCAGCGTAACATGTTCCCATTAAAAAAGTAAACTGCTTTATCCTACAGAATTATTATGAGCATATATTCGGACCGTGCAAATTATATTAATTTCACATTTTATATTTCATTCGAATCATTACCCTCCCTACCAATAATTTATTCCTCTTCACACTAGCTTTTACAAGTTGAACAGATTAAAGTTTATAAAATATTTTAATGAAAATATTTGCAAAATGTTGATATTTATATAGTACTATATTTCAGAGCTCCATAGCGAATCCTACTGAGTTACTGTCTTCGATGTGGTCACAACTCAGAACATTATTGATGAGCACGATGCAGTGTAATTATTAGGGTAATACAGAAAAAAAAAACACAAAGAACTAAACCCAATCTTCCAATTATTTCAACGTCGTGTTTGTAATTAATTATTACACAGTAATCAACAATAAGCTAATTATCCTGCTGGTAGGACGAATAAGTTTGGTGAAATTTGTTTGTAAAATAGAAAATGATTTTGATTATATAATATTAAAAGAAAGAAAGATAGAAACAACTTAACGCCGTCAAAGATCTAAACGTTCACACTGCACTTAGTAACCAACGTATACTTAACAGCGTTATCACCGACAAGAACACCAGCAGCTTTGTTCCCAAGATTGATGAGAGCCGGACACCGAACATGTATATGATACTTCCCGGTGATCAACGTCCCTACTTTCCACCTCACGCGCCCATCTGCGCGTATCATCAACTGAACGAACCCATGACCTTGCTCGTCTCCCAAAGCGACGGAGTTGTACGGTGCGATCGGAACAGCGGTTCCGTACACGAAAGGAGACCAGACGTTGTCTTCTTTGTGGCCTTGGTACGTGGGAGGGATCGCGGTCCTGAGAGTTATCTGCTGGTTACGGTACGTGGCGTAGACGTGGAGACGGTCGTAGTAGATACCGATCTTGGAGTTAGGGTTGCGAGATGCGAAAGTGATCTGAAAGTTTGTGGTGAGGAGGTTTGGTTGCGAGAGGTTGAAGGCGAAGACGGTGGCGTCTTGGAGGATGAATCTTGGTTTAGTTGGCCTGAGTATGACCCAAACTAGAAAGATGGTTATGAGAACTATTATTATGAAGGCGATCACGGCGGCGCAGATTCGCCGGACGGCTGCTTCTTTTCCACCACCGTGGTTGCCGCAATCTTTGGACATCTTTTATTTACGGTTATGCCACTGGTGTGCGCCTCTTTCTCTCAATATGATATGTTTCTTCCTTTTTCTGTTTGGTCGTGACTAGTGATGATGGGAGGAAAAAAATGTGTATGAGAAAGATGGGTGTGTATATTTATATTATAAGTGTGTATAAAATGTCCTATGTACTAAAGTCTCTAGAGTCTAGACTGTAAAGTCTTAGATCAATTAACGTTTTGTATATTAATTTTTACATTTAAGTTCTTACCTAATCTTTTTTTTCAATAAATTATATCACTATCTTTAGCAACAATAGTACCGTTGTGGTAATGTCACCTATACGTGTGAAGAAAGGGAAGAAATGGTTTAAGTATGCCTAAAAGAATAATAAAATCTTTAACAAACAAAAAATATAAAATAAATTTGTGTATAGGATGGAGTATAATTTTTGGGAAATGGTTTTTGACATTTTGTGGAGTTTTTATCTGGTGGGTCAATTTTATTTTTTATTTGTTGCGATGATAGAAGTTTCTCTCATGATTGATTCAGTTAAAATACAATGCGTCTATTTTTGTGTTTATTGTTTTGAGATTATTATTTTAGTCGAAACAGGAACATGGCACATGTGCATATATTCTTATACTGAAACTACAATTTTGGAAAATAAGAAAATTCAGCTCAAAAAGTAAATTTAATTTCGTGTTTAGACATGTGTCATTTTATGGTTGGGCTTTGCTACAGCCATTTGTCAAATACAAGAAAATTTTATTTTTGTGTGTAGTTTATCATGCTGGAAGTAAAATTGGCAGGTCGGCCGTCGGCATTAACGGTTTATGTTCCCGCATGGAAACAAAACTATAGTATGATTCCTGGTTATATCGATGTAAATAACATACTTGGTGTCGGTGATCAACTTGTATGAAATTGCCGCACTTTTACAATTTTGTAGTCTTGTTTTTTCCCCTTAATCCTGGTATGAAATTATTGAACAAAAATTGTATCATGTGGAAGAAATTGCAAGAACAAAAGTCAAGGCTGTTGAAATCTTAGAAAAATAAATATTCAGTGAAATGTGTGCAACACAACATGGGAGATCGATGCTAATTATATAATCCGTGGAGGTTAATACTTCAAAAACACTCAACAAATTAACTAATTGATTATTTTTTTTCCTTGGAGGACCTTATGTTTAACTAGGACGTGTTTAAAAAAGAAAAAAAAAAGTAGTGAAGGTTTTATGTTTCTTCTTTTTTTGTAAGAAAACAGGTTTTTATTTTTTAACATCTGATTGACTATACTATTACAACGATAAAAAAATATTACATAGACGATTTTACATCCGATAATTATATCATGTATAAAAATATATGTATGACTGCACCACTTCTAGACGCCTTATGAGATCTATGTTTGATGCTACGCCATGCACCATGCTAAAGATCTTTTATCACCATTTTTTCTATAATTTGTATAATTCGCATTTTCTAGGGCTTGAATTCTAATACTCCTAGTGTAGAAGCATTAATGAATTCTCAGTCAAATCACTTGACTAATAAAACTTCTACATAAAACGGGTTTTAAATTTGTATTGGTGGAGATAATTTTTTTTTTACCAGAAATTTGTATTCGTTCTACTCTAACATTCTCTCTAATACGGTGTGTCCATTTCCCAACGTTGGCGACAGACTAACTCACCATTGTTCCTCCTCTCATGTCACCCTTGTCAATGTGTTTTGCTCTATCTTGGTCTCGTCGTCTCTGACACTCACCCTCACTCTCTTTGGACCTCCATATCATATCCATGAGAACAAGTTATGTGTGGGTAGGTTTGATTTGCCCAATGTCTAAGGCCGGCCCCGAGTAAGGAATCCAAGCATTTAGGAAAGACTTGAACTAATTATCTTTTTTTTTTATAATTGGGAGATCTAAAAAAAATCTTTAAGAACATAAGTTGAAGATTTCATTAGTTTTGGCTCAGGGACGGTTATGCTAGTTAGCAAAACTATGTTAGGAAATAGTGTCAGATGAAATATATTTTAAATATACATTTTTCTTTTTTTTGTATAGTTATTACTTGTGATTTAGTAGCTCTGCTGGTTGGTTTTCTATTCTTGCGTCTCACCTTTACTCAGGTTCGAATACTTCTGATATTATTTTTAGTATACATTAAACATTGGCCAAACCGAACTTATGAACCCTCTAAAATGTGAAGCTTGTTCCGCCACGAGATTCGCCTTGCTTTAAGTACATGTTCAATCCCCACCAGTCCTACCAACGGAACGGCTGATCTTCCCCAGTACGTCTTACCATCGAATACGTCTCTGGTTATAATTGTATAAACCGATTGACCTTTTAGATAATATAAATGTTCGGTGTTAGAAAAAATAGTTGTATTAGTGAATGTTGATTGCTGATTAGTTGATGTGTTAATTGGCTATAAACTTGTATGTTTCACCAGTAATAAGGCAAAGTCACGGAATTTACAATTTTACTTGGAAAACAATATAGGAGATGGATTACACATCCGTCTATAAGGCTTAATGAACAAGCATCTCGACCCATTAACCTAGTTCGAGTTCAGCACGAGTCTTAATCAGCTCAGCTAGGGCAAGCCGAAGAACCAGACTCGACTCGTCTGGACCGAGTAAAAACATATCAACTGATAAAGGTCCACTAGAGGAATCCGGATCTATTAGGTCAAGACAAAGGCACACGGAAAAATGCTATAAGAAAAGGAGAAAAAGAATAGAGAAGGCATAGTGTTTCAGAAAAAAAAAAAAAAAAGGCATCAAAAATAGTCACTCTCGTTCCACGGCTAGAAATTAAGCTTTACTTTTTTTTTATTCTTGTCGGCTTGTATTTTAGTGGCCAACTCTCCGAACACTGATTTACTTCCTTTTCCGATTCATTACGACTGTAACCCCATCTCTAACCTGATCCAATAAAACATCTTCATTAAACCCACAATTAAATTAGGTCCATCCATATCGAGCTAGGAAGCAAATAAGGGTGGGCACAAGCCAAGTATTTGCCATTTTGGGCATACTTAGTACTTGATTTGGCTTGTTCGAGTAATACAATTTTGGACTTGTACTTGGTTTATTAAAAACGAGTACTTGTACTTTCAAATACTTCTTAAAAAATGGTATACTTACAAGTACTTGTTTCGCTACCTACCTATTCGGCTACTCTTATCCCACCTAAACAGTGTAGACATGGCCAACTCGTTTACAAAACATTAGAACAAGAGTGAATGCAACGTTAAGTCCTTATAAAAGTATATTTATCACAAAGAATAATCACTATACCGAACATTTGATTCACTGCCAAGCAATATTATAAGGCTTTGATTAAATGGACATAAACAAATTTTTTGATAGATTCTTAGATCAATTATAATGTGTTTATTGAGCAGAAACATGATTGTATCCATAGTAATGCTTTGTTGTGTTGCGTCTGCGTCGGATGTTGACTATTGACTCGAAAACGAAACACGTCTCCGCCTTTTCTTTCGTTAATACAGAGTAGATAGGACCCACGCGGTCACGTTTACAGGCTACAACTCCTATCCCCACTGCTCAACTAGAGACTTCGAATCTCTTAAAGTTACATTTGATCATAATGCAAAGTGTCTTTTCCATCGTTACATTTTCATTTTGTTAGGTTTATTACAAAAAGACAAACCACCAACCCTATTATTTCTTTTTAAAATTACGCATTACCAACGAATCTATATCAATTATGCATATATGTAGATAAATAAATACAAAGTATCTTTATATAGTAGTCTCCTTTTGTGTGAGTGAGTGCAATGCACATAAGCGCATTTTATTGTAATATCTGAAGCATATTAGCTTCGATGTCCCATTTGATTTAGTTATGATTTAACTTTAACTAGTTCCTAAAGACAGTCCATAAGTTTTTTTTTTTCTTTTTTTTTGATTAACTTGGGGTATCCTAAATCCATGGAGAAGCCCAGACTAATCTCCAAGGGGAGGTGCAGTACGGATAGACCCTTTCTCCGGGTATTCAAATAGACCCTAAAACATAGGTTCATATCCGTGTTAGGTGACCAGGATAATTGTGACTTAGTTTCGCGCAACAGGTGGATCGAATCTGAAACATGTTGGTGTCTCAGTATCATCTCTTTATCACTCGACCACAATCACCCGGTCAAATACAGTCCATAAGTTTGATGGAATAACTTCTTCTAACTCACAAAATCTCAATATAAGTATAATGCGAATTCAACAAGACAACACAAAACGATATAAGAAATACGGCTGATTTGCTTTCTAAAGCTTGATGAATTATTTACCAATATTTAGTATAATAATCAACATAAACCTCTTGTTCTGCTAATAGTTTTTTGTATTCATGATATCTTAAAATTTTGCGAAATTTGACTGATAATAGTAAATTTCAGAACACAATATAAAAATAGTATGAGTTTAAGTGGAACTTTAGAGTTCTAGTTTCATATTATATATCTATGGCATTATTTTTGTGTAAGATAGTATAAGCGCTATATGTTTCAGAAGTGGAAAAAGTTTGAGACAAAAAGTTTTAAAAATTGACAAACAGGCAACTACTAGCATTACAAATCTTCCAAAATAATAATAAGTCTCTTTATACGAGATATATATTCTGAATTCTCTTTGATATATTCTTTCTCTTTGATAAAAAAAAAAAGAGGATCGAGTGGTTGATTCAGAGGAACTGGAGTCGTACTTTTTTCTTGATCTCGACTCAAAAGTGGAAACTAAATATATTATATTTTACCTTAAGGTAGAGAAACAAGGTATGAGTTCGGTCTACTGCATTTTGACGCAATGACACTACAAAACAAGGAGAGGAATACTCATCTTATTAATTTACTTTTATGATCAGCTCCATTCAATATTTTCTTTTAATCTCGACCATATCGAACTAACATTTTCTACTTAAGAGCTCCGCCGGCTTTTTCTTGATTCAACCCTACACAATTAAGAGGCGTCAAGATGAAGATCGCACGGTTCACATTCAAATATCCAAAGGTTTCAACGACAACGGCTATGTGATTTATTACTTCAGTTTCTTTTATGATTTGGTTCTGGCATATATTTCGAGTCATGTATCTTGCCTAGGGGGCACAATTACTTGCTACTTAGCTTGTATTCGCTACTTGATTCGTTTTGTTCAAGTCGAATATTAAGTCGTTAATTTCAATTACTTACAAGCACAAGACAAGT